GGCACCCCCTGACCCCCCCGGCACCCCCTGACCCCCATCCCGCCAGGCCCAGCATGGGGCTGAAGCCCTGGCAGAAGGCTCTGTTCCCGCTGCGCTCCGTGGCCGCCGTGGTTCGGCTGTTCGAGGCCGAGCTGCGCCAGCCCGAGCCCGACCTGGTGCTGCTCTCGCTCGTCCTGGGCTTCGTGGAGCATTTCCTGGCCGTCAACCGCGTGCTCCCCACCAACGTGCCGGGGCTCACCTTCGAGTCGCGGCCGGGCCCGGACCCCCAGACCCGCCTGTACTTCCCGGTGGCCGAGCTGTCCATCGTGGCCGCGCTGTACGCGCGCTTCACGGCGCAGATCCGCGGCGCCGTGGACCTGTCGCTGTACCCCCGGCCCGACGGCTGCTCCTCGCGGGAGCTGGTCAGGAAGGTGTCGGATGTGATCTGGAACAGCCTCAGCCGCTCCTACTTCAAGGACAGGGCGCACATCCAGTCGCTCTTCAGCTTCATCACGGGTGAGGAGGGGTCCTGAGGGGTCCCAGGGGGTCCTGAGGGGGGTTTGGTGGGGCTGGGGTCTCACCTGGAGCAGTCTCAGCCGCTCCTACTTCAAGGACAGGGCGCACATCCAGTCCCTCTTCAGCTTTATCACGGGTGAGGAGGGGTCTCTGAGGGGTTTGGTGGGGCTGGGGTCTCATCCAGTCACTGTTCAGCTTCATCACGGGTGAGGAGGGGTCTCAAGGGGTCCTTGAAGGGTCTCAAGGGGGTTTGGTGGGGCTGGGGTCTCACCCAGAGCAGTCTCAGCCGCTCCTACTTCAAGGACAGGCGCACATCCAGTCGCTGTTCAGCTTCATCACGGGTGAGGAGGGGTCCTGAGGGGTCCTTGAAGGGTCTCAAGGGGGTTTGGTGGGGTTGGTGGGGCTGGGGTCTCACCCGGAGCAGTCTCAGCTGCTCCTGATTGAAGGACAGAGCTCATATCCAGTCCCTTTTCAGCTTTATCACAGGTGAGGAGGGGTCTCTGAGGGGTTTGCTGGGGCTGGGGTCTCATCCAGTGTCCCAGGGGGTCCTGAGGGGGTTTCATGGAGTTTGGTGGGGCTGGGGTCTCATCCAGTCGCTGTTCAGCTTCATCACGGGTGAGGAGGGGTCCCTGGGGGGTTTTGGGGGTCTCTCTGTGCCCCTGAGCCCCCCTGTGCCCCCCAGGTACCAAGCTGGACAGCTCAGGCGTGGGGGTTGGGGGGGTTTTGGGTGGGTTTGGGGGTCTCTCTGTGCCCCTGAGCCCCCCTGTGCCAGAGGGACAGGGGAACATTGGGGTGGGGGGGTCAAAGGAAAGGGGACATTGGGGGGGGTCAAAGGGACATTGTGGGGACATTGGGGGGCTCAAAGGGACATTGTGGGGACATTGGGGTGGGGTTAAAGGGACAGTGGGGACATTGGGGGGGGTCAAAGGGACAGTGGGGACATTGGGATGGGGTTGAAGGAATGGGACATTGGGGTTTGGGGACAAAGGGACATGGGCGACATGGGGACGCATCAATCTATGTCCCCAGTGTCCCCTGTGTCAGCTGTCTGCATGTCCCCCGAGCTGGCTGTACCTGGGCAGGGGCACAGGTGGATGTGTCCCCATGTCCCCTGTCCCTGTCCCCAGAGCTGGCTGTACCTGAAGGGCTCCTACCTGCGCTGCACGCGGCACATGGAGGTGGCGTTCATGGTGTGCGCCATCAACCCGTCCATCGACGGCCACACCGACAGCCTGGAGCTGCTGCAGCTGCAGCAGGTGAGGGCAGGGCTGGACAGGTGTGCCCCAGGTGTGCCCCAGGTGTGGCCTAGGTGTGACCCAGGTGTGCCCCAGGTGTGCCCCAGGTGTGCCCCAGGTGTGACCCAGGTATGACCCAGGTGTGCCCCAGGTATGACCCAGGTGTGGCCTAGGTATGACCCAGGTGAGGGACAGGACTAGCCCAGGTGTGGCCCAGGTATGACCCAGGTGTGCCCCAGGTATGACCGAGGTGTGCCCCAGGTGTGGCCTAGGTGTGCCCCAGGTGTGACCCAGGTATGACCCAGGTGTGGCTCAGGTGTGGCCCAGGTGTGACCCAGGTGTGTGGCATGATTGACCCAGGTGTGACCCAGGTGAAGCCCAGGTGTAGGGCACGACTGACCCAGGTGTGGCCCAGGTATGACCCAGGTGTGGCCCAGGTGTGAATCCAGGTGTGCCCCAGGTGTGGCCCAGGATTGACCCAGGTGAGGGACAGGACTAGCCCAGGTGAGGCCCAGGCATGGCCCACGCGTGGCCCAGATGTGCCCCAGGTGTGGGGCAGGATTGACCCAGGTGAGGGACAGGACTAGCCCAGGTGTGGCCCAGGTATGACCCAGATGTGGCCCAGCTGTGCCCCAGCTATGCCCCAGGTGTGGCCTAGGTATGACCCAGGTATGACCCAGGATTGACCCAGGTGAGGGACAGGACTAGCCCAGGTGTGCCCCAGGTATGACCCAGGTGTGCCCCAGGTGTGCCCCAGGTGTGACCCAGGTGTGACCCAGGTATGACCCAGGTGAGGGACAGGACTAGCCCAGGTGAGGCCCAGGCATGGCCCACGCGTGGCCCAGATGTGCCCCAGGTGTGGGGCAGGATTGACCCAGGTGAGGGACAGGACTAGCCCAGGTGTGGCCCAGGTATGACCCAGATGTGGCCCAGCTGTGCCCCAGCTATGCCCCAGGTGTGGCCTAGGTATGACCCAGGTATGACCCAGGATTGACCCAGGTGAGGGACAGGACTAGCCCAGGTGTGCCCCAGGTATGACCCAGCTGTGCCCCAGGTGTGCCCCAGGTGTGCCCCAGCTGTGCCCCAGGTGAGCAGCCCCCCCACATCTCCCCTTCCTCCCCCCTCAGCGCCTGCTGTGGCTGCTCTACGACATGGGGCACCTGGACAGGTGAGACACAGAGACCCCCACCCACCACGGGGCTGTCCCCCAGCTGCCCCGGGACCCCCCCCAACCCTCGGCGGGGCCCTGGGACCCCCCCCTGCCCCACAGGTACCCCATGGCTCTGGGGAACCTGGCCGACCTGGAGGAGCTGGAGCCCACCCCGGGCAGGCCCGACCCCCTCACCCTGTACCACCAGGTGAGCTTGGGGGGGCTGGGGGCTGTGCCAGCTGTGCCCAGCTGTGCCCAGGTGTGCGCTGAGCCCTCCCCACGGCCCCCAGGGCATCCACTCTGCCCGCACCTACTACAACAACGAGCACATCTACCCCTACCTGTACCTGGCCGGCTTCCACTGCCGCAACAAGAACGTCAAGGAGGCGCTGCAGGCCTGGGCTGACACGGCCACCGTCATCCAGGAGTGAGTGGGGGGCTCCTCGGGGGTCCTGGGCGGTCCTGGGGGG